CCGCCTCCGATGCCCTGTCCTAACAACCCCCCAGTCTCCGGAGCACCTCCTGGGCAGGGCACGTTCCCCTACATGATGCCCCCTCCTTCCATGCCCCATCCCCCACCCCCTCCGGTCATGCCCCAGCAGGTCAATTATCAGTACCCTCCTGGGTATTCGCACCACAACTTCCCGCCTCCCAACTTCAATAGCTTCCAGAACAGCCCCAGTTCTTTCCCACCCAGTGCTAATAACAACAGCAGCCCACATTTTCGGCATCTCCCTCCATACCCACTCCCAAAGGCTCCCAGTGAGAGGAGGTCCCCGGAAAGGCTCAAGCACTATGATGATCACCGGCACCGGGATCACAGTCACGGGCGAGGGGAGAGGCATCGGTCCCTGGACCGGCGGGAGCGAGGCCGAAGTCCCGACAGGAGAAGAGCAGACAGTCGCTACAGATCCGATTATGACCGCGGGAGAACGCCATCTCGCCACCGGAGCTATGAGCGGAGCAGGTAAAACTCGTGTTTTTTAATGAACTGAAGAGGCCCATACAGAGGCCGTTTCTGCTTATCGGCAAACCAAACCAAAAAGATCCTGCAGTGCATTTTGATGTATAAAAGGAAATAAAGCTTGTTTTGGGTTGTTTTAAAGAGGAAGGAACAACTGACAAGTAAAGAAATTGATGTCAGAAAAAGCCACTTTTGAAAAGCATTCCAAAATTATTAATGTAGATTCCTTTCAGTGGATGTAAGCTGATTACTCTGCATAATACAGTTGACATTTTAATGATGATCCAATGAAAAATCATAAATTTTTTGCATTATATTTAATTATGTTCAACAGCATCATCTCAGATTACAGTACTTGCATTCTTTTGGAATTGATGATCTGCCTATATTACCAATTAAGAATTAAACTAGTTAATGAGCAGAACTTGCTTTCTGATTTTTAGGATAAATGGAAGTTTATTGTACATTGCTGCCTTCTTGATCTGTTTCTTTATAAAATGAGCTTATATTATCCATTATCAAAGTTATAGTTTTCAGAATAGCTTTAACCCACTTTTGTTGCACTAAAACAAATTCATACTGAAGAAAATTGTATTTAAAAAATACTGTTCCATTCCAGGTTACATTTCCTTTTTTCAAAAGACCAAATACCTGTATATACAAGAGAATAAGGTTTTCAGCAGGTGTACTGAAACGGATCCATAGATGGCGTTCTAGAAATGCTCTGAAGTTATATGCAGAATTTTATGTGTATTTTTTTTTCTGTAAGTAAATCAGTACCTTACACCAGATTCTCAAGAGGTGGTGTGAGTCTGTTATCCCAAAAGTCTGAGAAGTCTTGGTTTAGGTGGAAAAATAAAAACAGACAGGTAATGATTGTATTAATGCTTACTTGTACCTTCAGTGAACTCTTTATATCGATAAAGATTTGAGGTTTTCCACTTGTCAAGCTGATAACAGTGCTTCTCCCTTTGTCCCCTGTGGCGTGTTTACCTTGGTTGTCTTGTGGACCTTCTGTGCTGCACACGTTTGAGCTCAGCACACCAGTTCACTTCTCGGTGTGGGATTGTAGGGAGCTGGTCTCAGCTCCTGGGCCGTTAGTGCACCTCTCGGTTTCCACATTTTTCTCATGGCTGTCGGTGTGATTCTGATTGGACATTTTGCCGGTAAATGGTGATGTGTTATTGCTTTTCCCTGATGCCAGTGGGAGGGTGAAGGGAATGTGTTTCCTGTGGAGATGATGGATTTGAGAGTCGGTCGTCTGTTAAGTCTTTTCAGTGTGAGTTACTATTTCTGGTCAATTTTGTTCTTAATTATTCTGTGATGGACTAGTTAGAGGAGGCCTGGGATGGTGTACTTTATAGTTTTTTTAAAAAATTCTTTATTGTTTAAAGTATTGCATATGTCTCCTTTTTCCGCCATTGACCTCTCCCTGGCCACTCCCACCCCTCAGTGCATGCCCTCACCCCCTCTACTGTCTGTGTCCATTCGTTATGCTTATATGCATGCATACAAGTTCTTTGGTTGATCTCTTACACCCTCTTCTCTCCCTTGCCTTCCCTTCAAGGTTTGATGGTCTGTTCGATGCTTCTCTGTCTCTGGATCTATTTTTGTTCATCAGTTTATGTTGTTGATTATATTTCATAAATGAGTGAGATCATGCGATATTTATCTTTCTTTGACTGGCTTATTTTGTGTAGCATAATGCTCTCCATGTCCATCCATTGAGAATGTCCATCAGTTGAGAATGATAACAGTTCTTTTTTTTTTTACGGCAGTGTAGTATTCCAGTGTGTAGATGTACCACAGTTTTTTAATCCACTCATCTGCTGATGGGCACTTAGGCTGTTTCCAAATCTTAGCTATTGTAAATTGTGCTGCTATGAACATAGGGGTGCATATATCCTTTCTAATTAGTGTTTCTAGTTTCTTGGCCAGACTGAAAACAGGCATCAGTCCCTCACCCAAGCTGGCCAGGCACCCCAGCGGGGACCCCCACCATGAAGGGGGTGTGGCCAGCTTGAAAACAGCCCTCAGCTCCTCACTCAGGTTGGCCACACACCCCCAGCAGGGACCCTCACCCCATCAGGGCGTGGCTGGCCTGAAAACCACCACAGGCCCCTCACCTAGGTCACCCCATGCCCCAAGGGAACCCCCACCCTGATCTGGGACACCCTTCACGGCAAACCATCCAGCTCTCACCTGTGCAACAGGCCTCTACCTATACTAATAAAAGGGTAATATGCTAATCAGACTGGGAGACCTTCCAGGAAACCTTCCAGATGTTCTTCTGGACAAAGCTATGGTGGCGGGGCCGAGGTAGAGGCAGTTAGAGGCCAAGAGGAGAGGGCAGTTGTGGGTGATCAGGCCGGTGGGGGGCGGGGCCGTTGGGCATAACAGACCAGCAGGGGGGCCAGTTGGGGCAAGCAGGCCATCAGTGGGGGTCAGTTGGAGGTGATCAGGACAGTGGGGGGGGCAGTTTGGAGTGAGCAGGCCAGCAGGGGGGCAGTTAGGGGTGAGCAGGCTGGCAGGGGAGGCAGTTGGGGGCAAGCACACTGGCACGGAGGGCATTTGGGGGTGATCAAGCTGACGGGGGAGCAGTTGGGGGCGAGCAGGCCTGCAGGCAGAGTGGTTAGGGGCAATCAGGCAGACAGGCAGGTGAGTGGTTAGGAGCCAGCAGTCCCAGATTGTGAGAGGGATGTCCAACTGCCAGTTTAGGCCCGATCCCTGCAAACCGGCAGTCGGACATCCTTCGAGGGGTCCCAGATTGGAGAGGGGCAGGCCGGGCTGAGGAACACCCCCTCCCCCGTGCACAAATTTCGTGCACCAGGCCACTAGTAGTTTTATGATACAAATCTATCTAAACTGGAAAGAGTTTGCTTCAGAGTTCAATGTGATTGTTAATAATCCTGTCGCTGGGGAGGCATTTTCCTGCAAACTTCAATATTCTAGGTTGCATTTGTTTTTCTGTTTTGGACTTAAGTTAGATCTGAGTTTTTAGGGCTCTGATGTAAAATCCTAAAATTTTCCATCCAGGCTTAGATTGGAGTCATGTGTTTGAAGAAACTCAGATGTCTTGTAAACTGAGGGGTCTATCAATAAGTGAAATGAAGTGCCAAAAGCATACTGTTATCCTCCATTACCCTAAACCATAACTCCTTTACTATGAAGGACCTATTTAGGCAGTTAGCTCATCTTTCTAAATGGCTTTATTTGTATTGAAGTTGTTTTATATGATGTTGTACTTGAGATGTTTGCCCTGGAGCCACCTTAGTGTCACAGTCACGTTATAACCAGCTCCCTTTGGAGTCTTCGGCAGGGAATCAGTCGCTGTCTCATATGGGATGCTTCTGTGAAAGACACATGGGGCACGTGAAGTCCCAGGGTAACTTCTGGAAGTATACTGGAGAAAACCAAAGCTTCACACATTGATGCATTAGATTGTGCTCAGTCTATGCAAATTCTATAGCCTGTCCTCTGACCACTTCTCCCCTTACTTCTTGGGGTAAGTGAATCTGTCCCTTTTCAAGTTCCACTTTCCTTCTTTTTCTCCTCCGAAATGTGGTTGAACAGTAATTACAAGGTCGTTTTAGGCAAACTATTGCTAGAGAAAGTTTGTGAGGAAGTGAATATATGTACTTGTTAGGAAAGGTCAGGGTGGCTCTGGGGAATGGGAAGAGAAACAGCTGCTGACATGGCGCACTGACCTTGCTGGGTGCAGCATGGTGAGGACGGTGCGTGGCTTCCCATCGTGAGTGGTGCTACAGCACAGTAACCCCATAGCTGGCCTGTTGTGTGCCGCCGGCGGAGAGCTAGTGTTCTGCACCTAAGGGATACCTTAGTGCTCGCAAACAAGGACGAGTCTTGAGAACAGTAACCTTAACATTGTTTTTCTTGCTTTAAAGGTGTTC